ATAAAAAAATAGAAGACATCAATTGTAGCCACCACTTAATATCCAATGATATATTTTCCAACCATTTCATTTCCTTACTCGTAGCTGGAAGAGTTGTAAACTTGAACTCAATTGTGGAATAAACATATTTGTTTTTTTTTTGAAACTCAAGAAATAACATTACCTCCTGAAATAAATACTTATAGAAAGGTTGACTTATCATTACTTGGCACTAATTATCCAACTAGTATCAATATAATAAGAAAATTATTATAAATAATCCAAAATTCATAATTCTTTTTAAGTAACCAAGTTCTCTTGTAATTGTTATTTAATGATTCATATTGAAACCACTTGTGTATCTAGATAATTTACACATTGTGAAAGCAATATCTAATCTTATATAATGTATCATATATGTTAAGCTACCAATTACACTATTATGTTCAATTTGAGCAATTGATTTATCAATATTTTTCGGTCACCTTAAAAGAAATATCATATGGGATATGTGATTATTTGATATTCAAATTATTAGGCTTTTAAAAAAATTTCTGAATATAATAAAATTAACAAATAACAAAACCCTTCATTGTGTTTTCTTCCTTTGATATTTAAAATTATATCTATCCTATTTAAGTTTTTAGTTTTGAATTTTGAGACTAGATATTTTTTCGTATCATTAACATCATATCATTTACATAAAGATATATTACTACACCAAATTCATTTATAAATTTAGAATAAATACATTTATAAACTTTATTATGTTTAAAATCATATTTTAAAATTAGAGAATCAAATCTATAATATCATTGTTCGGGTCTTTATTTCAATCTATAAAAAGATTTAATTAATGTGCAGTTTTCCTTTAATTTTCTTTCAACATCTAAATCTATTGATATAGTGTTTTTCATATTATAAAGTACAATAAATTTTTTTATCTTTTTAATGTGAGATAAATTTCTTTTTATTTATTTATCTCATAAGCTATTTTATAACAATAGTATGATATTAATTTAAAAATTATTTTATTTGATAAATAATAAATAAAATATAAATATTTTAATATTGTCAAACTCAATTTAAATATAAATTCAAATTTTTGTCTCGAAAACACGAAAATGATAATCAAACTCAGTTCACGCATGATGGTTCAGCGGCGGGTGAGGTCGGCTGTGACGATGTTGGTGACTTTGGTGGAGACGACGACTTAGGATTTTTGGGGACATATTTCCTGGCCCAAACATGTTTTCCATTAATGGTGAACTTTGCCTTGCTTTGTCCCTGAAGAACGCTGTGAATGACGGCAGCAGAGGTTACAACAAGGCGTGCATACAGTGGCTGCTCCTCTGCCGAGACTTCTTGCATGTAAATTGCCTCAATACAATCTCCATGCTTCCTATGACCAGAAATTAAATGATAATAATTAGTCAAACTATTTTTAATTAGAAAAGGTGATAATTTCTTAATACAATTTAAGAGTTTGCATTCTCAAAATTTTATATTATAACATAAAAACTTTAGATATGTAAGAGAGATCGATAGAGGGATTAATTACTTGGTGAAAAAGTCTCTGATTTCATCTTCTGAAATAGGGTACCCTTTAGAGAACGTCAAGAAAATAGTCCTATTATCAGCATACACGTCCTTCTCTCCCTGGTGATCACCATTAATAATCTTTATACGATTCAGTACTCCAGCAATATTCTCAGTATTCGTAATCTGCCTCTGAGCTGAAAGATCACAAGGGTCATAAGCAGGCAAAATTTCAATATTAGGCGCCATGAATTGGGGACTAATCCCCAGACCATAAACACCAGCAGCAGCAGAATTATAACACAGCACAGGATTAATCGCTGGACCATAATAATTCAAAGGGTTCCCTTCTTGACCAATAACATTTTCAGCAACAATATTATTTCCTTTTCCAGCAGCCTTTTTTTCGATGACTTGTCGCGAAATATCTTCGAAAGCTCTTGCGCAAACTTCGTCGATGATCTTTGTGAGAGCGCGAAGAATACCAAGTCTATTGTCATGGAAAAAACGAAGGTGGAGGCCAGTTTTTGTCAACTGTTGGGTCAAAGGAACTTCATCGTTCATACTTTCTGGAGAGAAGTGGAACCGGTCGGTCTCTATGCAATTCAAGCAAAGAACAGCCTCATCTGCTAGAGAATTGATAAGGGCATCAGGCAATGACAACATTGTGTCCACTAAATTATCACGTGCCTCCTTTTCAAGCCAAATCCATAAGGCCATAACTTGCATGGACTCTGCGGGGTCGCGATCAAGATTGACAGTAAGTCTAGTATAGAGGGTTCTGTCAATGGTGTGAAAAATCTTGAACTCTTCTGGGGTCACCATGGAATTCAAAACAGAGGGAGAAGAGGTCACCACCGAGGATTCCATGGTTGTTTAACTGTGATTTGTTTCTCAGAAATGAGAGATACAATGGGGAAATCAACCGTGGTGTCTGTGTGTATTCTTATAGAGATGCAAGAATACAGTTGTTGGATTTGAGTTGTGACTATAGACAATGAAGGGGTATGTTTTGGGAGAGTTGCCATTGTTGTTGCAGAAATGGTATGTTTGTTTTAGCTTCTGTTTTGGGTTTCAATGGCAAACGTTCAAAATGGATATTCTTGGTTGGAGATTTGTAAGCGTATCAAAATTCCAATCTCACATGCATCAAGTAATGCAATGAGGACCAAATTTTATTTTCTTTTTCTTTTTCTTTCATTTGCATGTATAAAAAAATTCTCTTTATTTTCCCTTTTAAACTTACGATAGATCTGGACTCGTTCACTAATCTTAGTCAAAAAAATTATGCTGTTCAGTTTGTAACTACTGTATATTTACAATATCGGATAGAATTAAATGGATAAAAAAGAAAATCATTTCATCAAAAAATTATAAAAATTCTATCCTTTTAATTATATATATATATATATATATATAATTTCTTCTCTTATGTTTATCTTTATCTGTCTTTTTGAAAAGATTATTAAAAATTATTTTTTATCCCGCAGTTTCAATATTATAAAAATAATAAAATCTATCCATCATGAAAAACAATCTCCTAAGTTTGTTTATTAAATTAACAAAATAATAGTATGAATAAAATTTGTTAAAACCACATCACTAGTGTATAGTTTTTTAAAGAATAATTATTAGTACTTCACAACTAATTAATGATAATTTTTATAGTATTTTAAAAATAAGTAATTATATTTTATTAGTTATTATCTAGATTTATATTTTAAAGTGAAGATATTTTTATTATTTTTATAGATTATACATTTTATTTTAGTAAGGTTGAATTACAAAATCAGAATTAGTAGATAATATTTACATTTGGCATTTATTCCAATCAAAATAGAGATTTTCAAAAACTTCTAAGAAACAAGAATGACAAGCCCGAGATTGCTCTCCAGCAACGGCATCGTTTTCCACGCGCCAGACGCCTCCCACCCACACCTAGCTCGAATCCAATTCAGGCTCTCACGCCACCACACGGACAAATAACAACACAGCATTTCTCTTATTCGGTGTCCGACGCTTACAACGACTTCCGAATTCCGTCAAAATCCTCTTACCTTGTAACCTATGATTTCTCTCCAAATCCTTAAACTCCACAGAAAAACACGTCAAATTATGTGTCAAAAAGCACGTCGGAGCAGCCTATTCCAGCATGCTTTTTTCAAAATTATAACCTACATGCTAAATTTATAATTTTAATAAAAAAAAAATTCTTTACATTTAATTTTTTTTTATATTTGGTCAATTTATATATTTTAAAAAAATTCTTTACATTTTTTTTTTATATTTGGTCAATTTATATAATTCCTTTTATTTTGTTATTCCTTTATAATTTTTTTTATATTTTTTTCTTTTCACCTTTTATTTTTAAAAATTTATTCTACATGGACTAAGGAATAACATTTTATTATATTATTATAATATTATTCTGTTTTATAATTATATCAAAAATTAATTTAGAATTTTATATATTTTTATTAATACATGTAATTTTTATTATATATATATATATATCAACTTTATGATTCACAATTATATTTTTTATTCAATGTAAAAACATATTAAAAATACCTGTATAATAATTATTTTTGTTGAAAATAAAATTATTCAACCTATAAATAAGTTGAATAAATATGTTAATATTTTTTTGTATTTATTCACATAAATAATTCTCAAAAAAATTTTAATTTATAATTATATTTAAAAACATAATAATTAAAAAACTTGTATATTTATTTTTTATCAACAAAATCTAACCAACTTACAACAAAACAAAGCACATGTCATATAACTAATTAGATAAAGAAAAATTATGGTTTTAGCACCTGATAAAAGGCAGGCTGTATTTAGCTGGGTGGTTCAACCTAATTTTATTAAAATTTTAATTTTTTTGTTAAATTTTTTTATATTTTTAGAAATTTAACATGAAATTTTTTTTTAAAATATTAAAAAAATTATATATTTTTAAATAAAAATAAAAATTTTAAAATATAAAAAAATTATATATTTTTAAATAAAAATATTTTAATAAATAATTATCACCGTCCTTTCAAACAACTCGAAATCCGTCGAAGAATATCTAACTGTTAAACTTAACAAGTTAAAAAAAAAAAAAATTGGTTAAAAAATGATTGGAAATAAAAGAAACGTATGACTTCGTGTGGGCCAGGACAGGGGACCCGCAAAACTTAAAACTGGGCAGCCAAACAATCGTAGAACCAACGGTGTAGATAAACATAAAGCCAAACCAATCAAAGAAAATCAAAATAAAATTCGGCAAATCACAAACTGCTATCTCCTTCATCCCTCCCCCTTCTTCTCTCTTCTCCATCGTCAGATCTAAAAAAATTTCTCTCCTTCTGTTCTGCCCCCCCCT